TGTGGTACTTATAGAGAAGTACGTGTATGGTGGCACAACTATCGCAAGCTAGTCAGCATCCATCTCTGGAATCTCTATCTGACTGATCATTCACTTCCTTGTTGTCGATTTAGGGTTAATTGTGGAGAATGCAATTTGTCTGTTTGCAGGTATCTGGTCATCAGATACTTGTGCTGACATAGCTTTGTCCTGTCTGCCTTCATGAGCTCGGCGTCGATTGCTCTGGGATCTATATGTTCTATCAATGTCTTGTGAATGTTGGATATCTCGTGAATGTCTACCATCGTCGTAGTCGCGTTGATTGTACATATCTACTCGGTAGTCCTGTCGGTCCTGATCATTGTGATTATCGTAGCGGTATTGGTAGCTGTTGTTTCTGTTGTACTGTTCCACACGAGTACGGTAGTCACGATTCGAATCAGGTCGGCGATGCTTGTAACTGTCCTTGGACTTAAATCTGTAGTCTCTCATGTCATGACGAGGACCAGATTTGCCAATCCGTCGATCGTAACGTTTACGACTGTCGTGGTCACGACCCTGATTATGTGGGTTACCAGCAACGCATGATATGATTAGAGCTTTTAGCATACGGCATTGCCCGATGGAATGCCCACGATTATTGCAGAATGCACAATTTCCTGTCGATATAGCTGCATGCGCACCGTGCACAATGGTTGATGGGTCACTTTCATCGGGATCCAATGCGATGAGGTACATGATGAGCTCATCATACGAGATGGCCATCATAGCGGGTGTCTTCAACGTAATCTTAACAGTCTGATTATCGTCGTTTACAGCCTGCCGTAGAATAGCGCACAGGCTGTTGTTAGATTTCGTACCTCCGGCGTTTTTGAATTTTACAAATGCCGTGTTGAGACGACTGATAAGGCTGGCGCAAGATTCGTTCCGTTCTTGCGTGATGCGGTTCAGTTTTCCTTCTAATGTCTGGATATCATCGTCGGTCAGGGCTCCAAACTTGCGTTTCAGTGCGGCAAAAGCTTCCCGCGGCTTGTCAATGAATTGGCTGATCTCCGTTTGCAGCAGTGGAGATAAGGTGCGGTTGATAATCCAATATGCCTCAGCCTGGAAGAATTGAGAGACTACAGGTCTCAGGCCAGATTTTACAGCAAGAAACTATCTTTGATTTATGGAAGTCATCAGAATTAGCTCACTCCCGAAAGTTAAGTCATCAGAGTTAGCTCACTCCCGACAGCTAATCAAGTTGCTCAAATTACTCTCAAGAGTTGATTTATTACCTAACCGACTTCCCAGAGCAGATTTAGTTTCTGAACCGATTCCCGAGAGTGGATTAAGCCTGTCAACCACAACATATTAATAATAGCTGCGGTTCTATGCGAGTCACAACCTATGCGGAAAGGCATCATGTGATCAGCGTGAGATTTAGCTGCAGAGAAGTTGAAATAGAAAAACTTCGAAGTGTTAAAGTGTTCCGCATAAAGTTTCTCATACTGACCATATGAGTTTTTACCCTGGCCAGCCCAAGCGGCTGAACACTAGCACAAACACCTTAGGTATAAAACCAAACGTGAGGTCAGAAATAAATACATACATTTGCACTTTATTTAAAGTCTACTACATTGTACTCTAACACCCTAATTCTCAGGCTCATAATATTTGTTGCGTCCTCTACAACAGTCTCCTCCAGTATCACTCCTGATACAATTCACACCTGTATATTTCTTGTACTCTTGAACTAGATACTTCTGGAGTACTGAATTCATCGGGTCCCTGTCATGGTTGACAACGCATCACTCACTCACTTCAACGGAAGTATCAATCGTTTCCATCTGACATGCATGCACATAAAAACTAAATTGAACGATGCCCCGACAAGTCCGGAGAATGGTCAGCAAACGATTGAAAGCCTGTTAGAGAAAGCAGTTTCTTTATGGGAAGTACCCTTCAACGTCAACCCTGTGATGTTTGTGTATATATTATCCACTACAACTGGACGATCTACATATGAAGATTGGCATAAAATCCATCAATGGGAATAAGCAATCTGATAACTTCAGATAGTGCTCGATTTGCTAACACCGACATGAACCGAGCCAACGCAGCTATGGTGACGTTTGTCTTCAATCCAAAAGAGAGCCTTGCGACACCAGCCTTTATCGCGTACATGAACCAGGGAATCTTGATACAGGTAATAATAACCGACTTTTTACATCCCCTAGGGGATAAATGAATAGATTACATGTATGTCGTGTTGAAAACTACATTGACAAAATGGCGCACAGTCAATCAATTATCAAATAGTGAGTCAATCAAAATAGTTGAGTAAATTACATGTATGTCGAGTTAAAAACTATATTGACAAATTGCCGCACTGTCAATCAGTTATCAAATAGTGAGTCAATCAAAATAGTTGATTAAATTACATGTATAACATTTTCAAAACAATACCATGGTGCACTGTTAATCAAATAGTGTGTCAATCACATGTTGTATTTGTGCATGCAGGGAGTATTCGGGTGTGCTTGCTGTATAGGAACTTTATATTTAGTATAAGATCATAAATCAAACTAGTTGCATCAGTCATAAAATGTCAACATCATACGGCCTCCATCGGTAGGATTGATGCCGTCTGATTCCCGTCCAGCTTTCACCGGTACTTCAGCTACAGCAAGTTCGGCAAAAGGTTTACAAGGAGAAAAAGAAAGTACCCATCTTACCGATGAAGGCTGAATGATGTTCGTCAAACCATGTATTAGGGCGCGTCTTATAATCACAAACACTTTATTAATAATAGAATCGGTCTCCTCCGTAATGCGCGTGAAATATTTTGTAGGGATAATATTATTTATTTCAAAAATGGCAAGTATGTATGATACAATGTGTGGACATATGGTATGGCTCTCATAGTCGCTGTAGTGGTTCAGGAAAGATTGATGGGAAGAAGTGGTCAGTAAATTCCCGTTTGGAGCTTGGGCCAAGTGAGTCGACAATGGAAGATATGTGCTGAGTCAATTCGGGCCGGTGTGCTGAGTCAATTCGGGCCGGTGCTGAGTCAATTAGGGCCGGTTTTTTTTAAATTTATTTTTAATTTTGTAGTGATTCGATCCACTGCTAGGTTGGTAGTTGGTCTACATACTCGCTTCGTTGGATTGGCGCATACACGCGTGAATGCGGATGTTGTTGCACAACGAATGGACTATGCACGTGATCCGAAGGTCCGTACCCAAACTGCACATAGTGACGATGAAAGGAAGCATGTCTCCGAGCTGAAGGTTCGATTATCTTATGACCGATAGTTGGAAGCGGAAACTGATGCTGAGGATGTGGCTGAGGATGACGATAATCGGAAAGCGGTGGAGAAGGAGGTACACTGTCATCTGTGACAGTTGGAAGCACTGGGGTAAGTCCGAGGACGCTTGACGGGAGGCTCCTCGCCGTACGAGTCAGCACTGCTTCCATCTTGGGCGACCTCTTCTTCAAGGGCATCTTTATCGGCAACTTTTTCCACGACTACTTCTTTAGCAGCCTGTCCGACGTCTGCTACAACAGTGTTAGCTAATCTCTCGTCAGCTTCTTCGACGCCTTCGTCATCTGGACCTGGTTCGGTACCCTTATCAGCTGGTTCAGTACTCTCTATCGGCGGCAAATGGCCCCTATTAAGCCAAGCTCATCGGTACAGATATCCTCATCACCAGACTCGTCCTCGATCTCCACCGTTGCAATGAGTTGATCCGTAGACTGCGAAACAGGCGATAAGCGCTTGGCCTCAATGTTGATTGGCTTATTGTAACCGTCCGATGTTCTGCGGCGAATAGCAGCCCACAATGGCTCATTAATCTTGATATGTACGAGTCTTATGAGGTTGAACGATCAACAACTCCATCCAAACTCATAGGAGCACATCGGACGTGGTACTTGAATGGCGAACACTTCCATACAATGGAGTCGACAGTATATAAATCACCCATGTGCATCAATACCTATCCTTTGTACTTTCTAGTTATTGAAGTTTTAGATGTATTATTATTTCTCGCCACGATTGTCTCCCAATCCTCTACATCGCAAGTGACCTGGTGATTTCTCTATTTGTGGCTGGCTTCGATACATCCATGTTTGGAACTGGAGGAGCTGGAGGAGCTGGAGGAACATCATAAGAATAAAACTTTGCAAACTCATTGCACGACTTGTCGGTGGTCTTGAAGTGCTTTGGATCAACGTATGTAACATCACCTGCTATCGCCCAGGATGCATTGTCAGTCTTTTGTATGTTCGACCGGACTTCGGACAGAACGCAGGCTTCAGTCTGAAGCGGACCTACATATCCGCTATTTTCAATCATCTGATACTGGTCTTTGCTGGGCTCACCTAATCGCGGCTTTTCTTTAGTGCATATATTCTTATATGATTTCTAGTATCTCTCCTGGACAGTCGTATTCCCAGTTGTAAAACATAACTTGGCGTATGGAACGATAGTTTGGGCAACCATGACTACCCACAATAGATAGACCACTCGCTGGGACCGTATCTACTATCAGAGTATGACACCTTTCGGTCCTCGAATTTAGCTTGCTGCAGAAAAAGCTTGACGGTTTCATCCTAGACAGCCTCTAAGCACTCCAATTGGTCACCTTCAATTACTGACATATTCTCCTCCGACAACTCATCGTCAACCTTAAGCCCCAGTTTATATCTTTCATTGTATGTACGCCTGGCTAACTATAAGCCTTCCAACACCATTTTTACAGGCTCTCGCCATCCCCTCTTCTCCCAAAGACTCCAGACATGATTCGCAGGATCCAACGTAGCTGAAAATTGAGGGTAAGGTACAGACTTCATGTAATCCCAGTGATTACGTTCATTATCATTGAGGCTAATAGCCATCTCACCCGCAAGATGGCATAACAAAGTGTCATTTGGTACATCCATTAACTTATTGTGTTGATCATCACATAGTTGCGTCCATTTTTTTTAGAGGCTGTGCAGGCCTCTGAGTCGGCATTCTTTAGAAGTTGGAAAATGATCTAAACTGTTCTGCATATAGCTAGGCCGGTATGGACGAAATCATCGCTACCTATCCATTCTTCAGCTTCTGCATTTCGTTTATCCGTCTTGGTACTCACTCCGTCCATAATTCTCGTTGTAGTCCCAACTATCACCGTGCTATATTCGATTAAACCTATTATCTCGCGTAAGCATAACTTCAACATGACAATTCTGAACCCTCTGGTGACACGATAGACGAAGTGACTATCAAACTCGCCGGCTGGTACGTCCAAACTTCTCCCATTGTACATCTTAGCGGTCAATTTAGCAAGGTAAGTTGTCACGAAATGGCTACCGTTTACATACTTGCAAATAATATCCACTTTATTCAGCCAGTCTCTGATCTCCGAAACCTTGGAACATACGTCCTTAAGCATCGTGTTCTGGTTGATATGAGGACGACGTTGCTTCATGGTAACCGCGGTTCCAACACAATCACTAGCTGCATCAGTGGCGTACACAAAAATATCTATTCCGTTCCGCGGTAGAGTGTCTAAACCCATGCAAAGGAGATCACATTGAATTTGTTGCACCTTTTGATTGACCACTTGCTTCGACAGTTGATAGATTGTACACGACGGCTGATACTCTGCCTTTTTCAGCCCTGGAGACATCACTGCCACTCCCCAGACCGGTTTCTTGTGTACAGTGGCTTCATCGAATGCCGAAGACATTTAACTGCATCCGTATGAGACAGAAAATCGTCACATACGACAACGCGACAATGAGAACATGAATCAGTTTGTACTACAACTGAACACAATTTTTTTCTAAGCGTTCAATATAGATATCAATTTTAAGGATGCCGAAAAACTCACATTTTTAGCCGGTGCTCTTCACAAAAATTATATCTCTATAGGAAGTCATCTGCTTTCCGACAACACTATGCTATTAATCTACGAGGGTGCGTACCACTGCAACGTCGACTTCGGATGCCGCTTTGGCCGCCCCTACTAACGTTTAGTCTCACAAGAGCAAAAACTATGGACACCTCGCACGAACCTGCAGATTGCCCAATTTCAGTCAAAACTCCAACTACAGAGGCCGAGGAAGATTCGGAGGCCGAGGAGGCTACCGTAATCGGGGAAGATGTTTTGGTCAAGGCAGTTTTCAAAATTCAGAACATGGCCGCGATGATAGGGACAGCTCGAAGACTCAACCATACTAGACTGATTTCAAAACAAACGAGGAGGATTCAACAAGAGAGAGAGAGAGAGAGAGAGAGAGT